TGCGTTCCTCTAAGTCTTCCTACCAATATGACCAAGTTGCGAAAACAAGGTCAAACAACTTCTAAATATAATTAGATTTTTAAAAATTTTTATTGCTCATATTGTTGTTCCTAGGTGTTGTTTACTCGGTAGACTTGCTTATCTTTGCAGTGCTAATATGAAGCGTTGAGAAGGTTAGTCAACATAGAATACTTTTTTGGTAAACCTAACTAAAATAGTTAAATTCTTTTAAGAACAAGAAAGCTATTCATTGTCGAAATCTCCTTTATGCACTGATTAACTAATTAAATCATTTTTAGTTTATAAGCAGTTTCGATACTACCTGTAAATCAGTTATATGAGATGTATTCGCCCTATTTCGTTTAAGTTTGCTTCATCGACAATCTCACCAAAGAATGTTATATGGAAAAGTGCCTGGCCTTGCTTGAAATTCACATCTGCCCCGTGACCGAAGGACACTCGTGGCAATGTGGCTGAGTGGTTAACGTTCCAAGCTCACATGTTGCACTGTCACGGTTCGACTCCCGTTTGGGAGGTTTATAAAACCTAGGCGAGGTCGAAACTGCAGTCCACCCTGGATGAGAACAAATTTTGTGAAATTCAATGGAAAGGTCACCTCTACTTATATAATTGTAGGAAAATTCTACTACCAGTCTTTGGTTACCTTGAACGAAATAGGGCGAATACATCTTATTTAATTAAATCATTGCCAGCATTTTCTACTCTAACGAAGTTCCCATCACAAAGTGGTACAAAGTCTTATGGCTTTTCTACTCAGTTTTGATTTTAGATTACTACTTTTAGCCTGCTAGTGAACCTATAATGTGAGTAAGAAAATCTCAATCTCAACGTTCCTTGTTTCTTCTTTTTTTCTTCATCCCATCTCTGCCGAATTAGACAGACAAACTCTTGAGTGAGTACAGAAGGCGTAGAGACTTCTCCCGCCACATCGTGCACATTGACATGGACGCTTTTTTCGCCGCTGTTGAGATGCGTGACAAGCCGGAGCTTAGACACATACCGATGGCAGTTGGCAGCAACAGCATGCTTGTGAGCCATGATTACATTCATTCTCCTCAATGTTTTCAGATTATATAAAAGGATCAAACCAGACCGACAATCATGATTTTAAGCTTGCATCTGAAGAACTCTGTTTCACTTACCATATGAGATCCTAACGATAGGTAAACAACATTTGCCAATTTTGAGGCTACATTTCGCAAACATTATCACTTTGATAAAATTAGATTTTTATGGGATACTATTTCAAATAGTATTCTAAACCTCATAATCTTGTTAAGTTAACCTGATGAGTAATATATACTTAATTAGTTATATGAAAATCTTCATGAAAAAACAATTTTTTTCACTTCAGTACAAAGCCATATTAGAATAATAAAAACAATTTCGTATCGCTTCAGGTACTTTCTTTGATAAGCTAAGGTAATAGATAATAAAATACATTTTACTAAAATAATAAATTAGATAAAATCAAGTAGTAGTACATAAAACCAATTAGCAAATGTGCATCATACTATGAGTCCTGTTTAAAAGTAGATAATAATTTGTAAAACTATATTTCATCATTAATAGTTCTAGTCTGCTTTTCTCCTCGGAGTGATAAATCTTACTCCTAACTATTTAACTCCAGAATACCTACGATACTCTGGCAAAATTGCCAAAAATTTAATAAAAAGTTAATCCTTTGGTTGTTTTCTTGAGAATCATATTGTACTTATTTATAAATGGACGCAAACGGACGACAAACTTAATTCAAGCCTTTTTATGAGTTGACTAGACTTGAAAAACTGGTGAGTAGGAAATCCAGAATCTGCTTAAGAGTAAACTCATTTTTTCTATACTTGATAACTTTGTCTATTACTAGCCAACATTTTTAACTTAAATTATAGCCCTCTAATTATCGGATTCGAAGTTATCTAATATAGATTAGGTTTCCTGATTGTAGCATCCTGAAGGTTGCATCAAGTGCTCTGGCAAAGCCATTTAGTTTTTATGCAATCTTTGCATCTGCCTGTCTTAATCATGGGCTGCATCCCTTAGTATAATGGCCTTGTGCGGCATGTTTGTGCTGCGTATATTGTGGTAGATAGTGGATTTACCTTATAATCCGATGGTGGCTCTATTGAAAGA